CCTTGATGCGTTCAACCGCCGCCGCCCGCTTCGCTGCTTCTGCGGCCTCAGCCGCTTCCGCCACAACTCGCGCTACCGGCAGACAGTCGGAGGCTTCATACACTCTCAAGTAGTCCTCATACACCTCGCGATTCAGCCATCGAGGGGCCGGCAACGGCATCCCCGGCCCCCGTGGCGGCGAGTCGACCCCACGCACCCCCGTCTTGCCTGCGACATTGCCTCCCTTTCCGGCCTTGCCTCCCTTTCCGGCCTTGCCTCCCTTTCCGGCCTTGCCTCCCTTTCCGGCCTTGCCTCCGTCTCCGGTCAGTCCGATCTTGGGCTTCTCGGAGGCCGAACCCGGTTTCAGTTTAAGTACCTTGGCGTCATCAACTGCGGCAAGGTCCTTTTTCTTCGGCGGCGCAGGTATGTCGGAGGTCTCGTTTCGGACCCAAGCGCCTTCCTCGCGCCAACAGGGCTCCTCTGCGCCGGCCCAGAGAGGCTGCGCCCTCTTTTCCTCCCCCTCCTCAGCCACCCCCTCTTGGTGGAAGAGGTCCTGACCTAGAGCGGTTAGCACGCTGTCGAGTGATGCGGCCTCGTAGTCGTCGCGGCCACGGGCGGCACCGCGTCGCCAGAAGCCTCCAGCGACAAAGTCGACTGCTAGGCTGTCGGCTGGCGGCGGTTCAGTTCGTCCCGGTTTTTGATCGCGATCTTTGCTAAGCATGTTCTCCAGGATCCGATCGGCAACCTCACGTGCATTGAACTTATTTGTGCGCGTCACATTCAACGAGAACATGTCTTGTCCACCACGCTCCGTCTCCAACTCATCCGCACCCAACGCAAGTCTTTTCAACTGGTCCACTTTACGTGCATCAAGACGTCGTTGCATGTCCTCTCCACGCTCTTGCAACAGTCTTTGTTTATTCACCGAACGCGCCACAAAATGATGTCGATGAATCAAGTTCTGCGCCTCAACCGACTCGGCCACCTTCGCATTCAGCTCTTTGATATTCAACCCCACAAGCAAACGCCGACTTTCTTCACGCACCTGCTCCTCTTTGTTCAGCACCTGCAACCGACGCACCATCTCATCACGACGCTCCAATGCCCTCTGTCGCCGCTGCCGCAACTCCGTCTGCAATCCGACCAAGTCGCGCTGTCGAAACTCCACCGGCAGACTCTTAACCACTCCCAACAACGTCTGTTTCGTCAAGTCAACAAAACGCAACGACATCGCGTTCCACGTTGCCGCCTCACCGTCCAGTGTACTCGCCCACTCTGCAGCACGAGCCTGCGACACCTTCCAGTCATTCCAAAAACTCATCAGTTCCGGTCGTCTCGCCTTCTCACCTCCAGCACCACCCAGCAACTCATCCAGCAAAGGCTTCACCAACGGACACTGCCTCACATGGTTCCAACATGCCACCATGATCTCGTCCGGCCCAGCCATCGCCCCCGGTGGCGCTAGCTCCAACACCCTTCGCAACTCATCATTCGCCGGAAATGGCGGCCCATACTTCATCAACGGACATTCTGTCAACCCCACACAGGAAGCCGTCTCTGCAAAGTAAGCAGCCACCTCTCCGAAATGTGAACTCTGATAACTCGGCAAGTCCAGCGGGGACCCCTGCACGATCTCCTGATTACTCGTGAAAACTACAACCAGTGAAAGTAAAGGGAAGGGGGGGCTTACAATGCGCGCGTCGAGTGACGTCCACCTTGGGGTCGGTCAGAATGAAGTGCACAAAAAGGCGGCCAGGTCCTCCGCGGGTTGTATGCGTATGCGTGACCGCTCCTACCGTCTTCACATCCACCTTGGGGTTCTCCACCAGGTTGTGACCCCGGTCGCGCAAAATCACTTCGGCCGTTCTCATCACGTCGTCTTCATGCTCCTCTACTAGCAAGACTGAAACACGCAACTTTGGTTGAGGACTCGCTCCTTACGCTTCACTTCGCTCTTGGCCGCATTGGGAATGTTTGGCTTAACTTTCAACGTCCACGGAGACCCCAACACATTCCTGTCTTTATATGTAGCTGTCACTACGTAGGCTGCAGCCTCACTTGGATACCAATGCGCCTAAGCACAATATATCTCACTCGTTCGCCAGTGGCAGGAGCAGTCGCAAGGTAAGCGGGAGGGAAACTGAAGGGGAAAGGACTTACCAGCATGTCTCCACCTGGAAGTGGAACGAGAGGCAGGATCCAGCGCTCCACGATGGGGAGCGCCATTTGTAGCGCAATAGTCTCGAACCCATCAGCCACCTCCAACTTGCCGACCTCGACTTTGAGTAGTTGAATTGGTCCATACACGTGTTGGCCATGTTCATCTGCAACGAGACGAATTTGTATGTGGTCGCCGGAAGCTGCGCTGCACTGCGGAATACACAGGCGGTAAAATGCGACCTCTTGAGTTTTTGCGCTCAGCCAAGTCTCTCTAGCTTCTTTCGTCGGTATATCACTGATGAGCGGCTTAGGGAGTTTTGTTGTTCCGCGTGTGTCTGCAACGGCAGCATCGAGTTTGAAGGGTTCTGCGACGTTTATCCTGTGTTCTAGGGCGTTCATCCTTTGTCCAATGGCATTTTAGAGGGTTGCACACGTGTGTGCTGGGCGCGGATAATGACGGATATTGATTTATTAGCTAGCAAAATGTGATGTTGGAGCCAACAAATAGTCCAACGCATTGTGAGAGCCCTCCGATATCTGGCCGCAGTATAAATAACCTTTTGTGTGAGGAGTTACGTTGCCCTATCTGTTTGACGGCTTACAAGTTGCCGACTACATTATGTTGCGGACATACCTTTTGTCGATATTGTGTGGGGAGTTCGGAGCTGTGTCCTTTGTGTCGGCTGCCGGTGGGCAAAGTCCCTCTGTCAGTGAACATGGTGTTGTACAATTTAATGAAGGCTGCGCGGTTGCGCAGCGTTTCGTTGCGGGCTGAGGAAGGCGCGCGGAGGAAAGCGGAGTTTCCGGTGGAGGAATATTGGGACGCGCGGGTGGCTAAGGAGTTTGCGCCGTTGCCGGGCTTCGCGCGTTTACTGATGACGGATATTCTGGGGTACCAGAACGAAGTGTTTGCGCGGGACCTGACAGCGTGTTTGGCGTCACTATGCTCCCGCCAGAACCTCTTTCGCCCTATTCCGTATGTCATTGACCGCCAGGCCGCGCGTTTCCTGCTCCGCTCCATGGACATTACCTCACTCGCCGACGGCGAACAACTCCAGAACTGGACGGAAAGCATGGTGGATGCCAATATGCACCTCATCACCCGCAGCCGTCTCCTCCGACCCTGCTCTGCCGCCCGACCCGGTACCAGGCCCGGCACACGACCCGGCTCCGGCATCACTCTTGACGACGAATGCATTGGCCACCTTCAGGTCCTCGGCGACAAACTACACAAGATCACTCCCGCCCTCCTCCCCCTCGACCACTTTCCACTTTGTGGCGGCCGCCACACTACCAATGACATCGTTATCCTCCAGTCCTCCGTCTCCGCCTACCACTTCCTCATTCGCGAAGGCACCTACGACGAGTTACCCAGCCCCGAACCAGGCCGCGTTCCGGACCACCGTGTCGGAGACCACCGAGTTGGAGACCACCGAGTTGGAGACCACCGAGTTGGAGACCACCGAGTCGGAGACCACCGAGTTGGAGACCACCGTGCCCAGGAGCAAGACCTTGCGCCGGGAAATGTTACGCCGGACAATATTACACCGGGCAGTGAGACAAGGGTCGGTGTTGCGGCGGAGGCGAGTAGTCGTTCGCCTGTGAGTATGCGTCACGTCTCGTCGCCTAACCCGTGGCGTTTTTCTGCTGCTGCTTCGGAGCTCTCAGCGGTCGGCCACAAGGCGGACAAGGTGCTCATTCTGCAAGACGTTGGTAGCAGTGTTGGGACCATGCTTCGGCTGGACTCACACACGCCTCTCGAGGATGGCTGGGTGCTACACCTCGGCGACCGACTGGAGTGTCGTGTCCAGTTAGGATCGCCGCTCCGCCACCTCGCTTGGGACCCGGAACAGCAACACGTGGTTCAGCTGGCCAACAACGGGGCGCCGGACACGGGAGAAACTTGCGCAGCCACGCCAGTTTCCCGTGCGACTTCCACTCCAAAGGCCTCGAACCCTAGTGTCCAAATCCCAAACCCCCCGGTTCAGATCCCGCCGTCGTCAGTACAACCCCCCTCGTCGGTCCTGCAGCATGCGGCTTCAATGCTACAGCTACCGGTTTCCTGCACGCCATGCAGCCGAAACGCGTCGCCGACGGCCAGGCTGAACGCCTTTGGGCCTAACGCCTTCGGCTTCGGGCCCGGTCCCAGCGGGCCCGGTCGTGGGTCGACTGGACTGTGTCCCACTACACTAAACCCGATACCGATGTTGACCCTGACGTTGTTGCGACCGCCGGAAGAGTTGGACGGGACCAGCGGGCAGGCGGAACGGTCGTGGGTGATACCCCCAGCGGGCGTGGTATTGGGTCGAGCAGACCATCATGCAGCGGCGCATTCGGCAGTGCCAAAAATCGCCATGACCGCTGCGAACAACTGCGTGTCCCGAGACCACTGCATGCTCTCCTTCGGCGGCAGTCCGCCCTGTTGGCGCTTCACCGAAATCTCGCCTCTAGGAACTTTCCGCCGTCTCCGTCCCTTCGCTGATAAGGTCGCCCTCGACGGACCCGTGTCCCTCAAAGTTGGCCAATGCAGACTCGAATACCTACTCGAAACTCTCCCGCCTGTTACCAGAGCCCGCAGTGTTTCCGCAAGACGACCCTCCATGCCCAGGCGCTATGACCATCACACACTCAGCCGATGACGGACGACCATCCCGCCTTGACACAAACCGCCGCCGCCGCCGCTAACTACCTCGTTTCGGAAACTACCTCGTTTCGGAAACCATCTCTCCTCCCGAAGGTCCGCTTCGGCCGCAAGACCGGTTGTTTGCCGTCGAGCACGTGGCATGGGACGGGTTAAAAATGTATCAACGTTTAGAGAGGCACAAATGCCGGAAGATATGGAAAACATCATAGAGAGTATGCGTTTTTGGCTCCCACCAACTCCCCTGCTTGGGAAGGGTTTGCACGATCGGGCATAAATATAGGCGGAGACGGAGCGAAAAAATATTTCCGCGCGCGCGCACACGCATGTGCTAGCGCCTCATTATGGCGGCCGACAAAAGTGAAGGTGTTTCACTCGTCGGATGCTTCGGAAGACATATTGTCGTCTTCTTCCTGGTCGTCGTCATCTTGGGGGTCTTGGTCTGTTTGGCCTCTGGGTACGACTTTGGGTTTGGCGGCGTCTTGAACGGAGGTATGTCTGATGGGTGATTGCCTGAGTGGTTTGATGATTTGTCCTCCTCTTTCTTTGCGTTCTCTGTCTGCTTTGTGATGGACGAGCTTTTGTTTATTCATGTTGTAGATGTACTTGGGTAGGTGCCGTTGATGTTGAATATGTTTGACTTGAGGCATGTGAGCGTATTTCCGTAGGAGTGCTCTGCGATAATTGATAGCGTCTGCTTCCTTTCGACTGACGGCGCCGTTGAGTTTTTCGCTAGCATTAGCCTTCCAGAGCCTTACGTTAAAGTCTGCGCTGCCAGAGAGTATGTATTTGCTATCACCGGAATAAAGCACACTGGTAACGCTTTGCATGCGTCGGTTATGATAGACGTCACGACTAAACCGTTCGCCATGGGTCCATATACGGACAGTTTCATCTTGGCCACCGGCACACAGTTCTTTACCAGTGGGTGCATAGGCGACGCTAAGTGCGGCGTGGACGAAGCCGCAATAAACGTGTTTGGCGCTGGCGAAATTCCGAATATCAAAAGTATACACATTATGGTCATCATTAGCAACCGCAAACTCAAATGGACGCATCGGGTTCCAAGCACCCGAGTTACTCTGCATCGCTAACGCCACTGACTGTACCATGTCACCTTGCCTCACATCAAACAATTCCACCGTGTTGTTCGAAGATGCACTTAACACCAGATTCATGTCACTCGGTGACCATTGGACAAACCTCTGCACACATCCTCCCGCACCGCTCGCCATTTGCGCTACTGGTGCGGTCTTACTCAAATCCCATACACTAACTCGGCTTCCCGCCGTCACGAACCGACTCGCCTCGTCGTGACTGTCTACACCAAATAGGGGACCGTCCGGGTCGTGGAATGTATTAACCGGTCGAATACTTCCAACACTCCCGGCACCATCTTGCCAGAGGTCGTGGTGGATGACTCCACCGCGGTTCTCGATATCCGCCTCTGCAGCCAGTCCCACGCGGAAGTGTTTCTCCACCGCCCACTGCTTGATGTACTGGTCGCGCCCGCAACTCAGCAAGTACGTATCGTCCTTGGCGACCGCCACTCCCTCCACATGTCCATCATGCCCCTTCACAATAGACCTCTGGCACACACGTGTGCCCAACCGCCAAAATCGAATCTCACCGTCACAACTCCCACTATAAACATCTTGTACCGTCTTATGACTCCGCGCTAAACAACTCACTGCATCCAAGTGACCCTCCAACGCCGCCACAAATGGCTTCGCAAACATCCGCTCCATCTTTGCTGCCGCCAATGCACGCTGATACTCCTGCAAATTCTTCAACGGGTGCGCATCCGGCGCATGGTTGTTCTCACTCTTCTTCCCTCGGGTGTACAACTCGCTATCGCGAGCCAAAACCCGCACCTTCATGCAGCTATTTTATTTACCCCGTCCCAACCAACCCAAAACTAGGGCCTGCGCCAGGCCCACTCCCACTCCCTTCTCGAACCCATCCTCCTCGCAACTGGTTGCGTGCGACCCATCGTGGGGTGCCCAAAAGGGACACTGCACCATGGACTGGTTTCTGGCGGGCGAAGTTATTGGGCGGAAGATCTTCCAGGGCCTCTCTCTGGCCCTCGGCGGCCTCGTCGGGGCCGCCAAGGAAAGCTGCATGAGCTGCGCACACAACTTCGAGGAACCCGAATTCCACAACGCGCCTCAGCCGAACGCCACCAACGGCAAAGGACGACTCATCGGCTTCTATGTGCCCGGGGACATACCCATTTCGTACTTTGATGGGAACCGTCTCGCCGCCATCAAGCAGTAACTGAGCATCACAAACCTCCAGAGTCAACTTCAACTCCAGAGTCCCGCCCGTCTTCACAGTTTAGGATCACTATGCGGAGGACTTCGACTTCATGGAGCTCTGGCCTAATTGGTCGGCCGTAAGTGACCAACCCTAATTGCTGGGTCCGGCGTTTTCGTCGTCGCTGTCGACGATGTTGGTGTAGCTGAGTACGTCTTCGCGTACCGATTGGCAGGCAAACTCAGACACACCCGAGATGAGCTCGAGTCGACTGGAGTCCTGCACCACGGAGGATACAAACCTGCGAGGTGGCGTATCTTTCTTTCTCTGTTCTTACTTTTCTTTGTACTTGCGAAACGTCATTTGTACCTTTACGCCGCAACAAACGCAAAGTGGGAATGCCGGATGCCAATTATGCGCCAGATTAAACGTGCCCAACGACCCTCGGATCACATGCGGGCTGTCCCCCAAACAACTCAAGTGCCGCGGGTTCTCCAACAGCCACTTTCGGATATTACGCGTTGTCTCCCCCCCAGGCCGCATCCCTCCCTTAGTCTGTTGCAGACGCGCTCGCGCCTCGACGAGTCGGTCCGGAGGGGCGCAGCCCCAGCCGTAGTCTGTCTGCGTCATGGCGGCCACCGCCTCGACGGCCATGGCGGCGGCCCAGCCCGCCACGCCCGCTCGCGTGACGGTGCACTGTTGGTCCAGTGCACGTCTCGCAGCCACCGGACCCGGTGCCGTCAAGTCGTTGCAGAAGTAGCACGAGAGTCTCGCACCATACACGTCGTACGGACTCGCCAGGTCACGACTCGCTGCTGCCACGCTGCAGTCCACGTAACTCCCATGGCGCATCGCCACAAACGTGTCGAAACCGAGTGCCACAGTGTAGCACAACGGCGGGTAAAACGGGTGCCGCTTCCGTACCACGTCCACCTGCGGCCGTCCCCCTGCCATGGCGCCCACAACGTCTTCTTGACCGCGGACGGCAGGCGCACCGCGGGCGCTTTCCGGTTTTGGCGCTCGACATCCTTGATCGTGGGCGTCTGCCTGTTGTAGCGTCCGGAGATGTGCGCCGAGGTCTGGGCCGAGGTCTGGGCCGAGGTGTGGTCCCAAGTCTGCGGTCAGGTGTGGTCCCAAGTCTGCGGGCAGGTCCGGGGCCAGATCCGTAGCGAGATTTGTGGCTGGAAGTCCTTGACGATGGGCAGCCCGGGATTCGTCTCGGAGGAAGTCTGGGTCAGCGAGTTCGAGGCTGAGTTGTTGAGTGATGAGGCTGGGTAGCCAGCGGCTTTCGCGGTTATCGGTGAGTAGCCAAACGCCGTGGCAGTTGCGGATGAGTTGGGTGAGTTGGCGTGTGATCCATTCGGCATAGGGTTCGAGTGCGTCTTGAGGAGGGCAATCGGGTACGAAGTTGTTGAGGGGCAGATTAAAGCGTTGCTGATTGGGCATTGGTATCTCCCAGTTATGTGCCTCGATATTGAGATCATTGCGTATCTGTAAGAGTCGGTGTTTAGCGACGAGTACTTTGGGAGTACGGGAGACATCAGCAGCAAGGTAAAGACTCTGTCGGGCAGGATTGCTAGGCGCCACAACACCGCAATCTATCAAGACAAAGTTCTTCACACCCCAACCAATCAACTCACGGCATACCATACAACCCAACGTACCCATTCCAATCACGAGAAAACGAAGCGCACTTAACGCATCAGGTTCAAACTCCGGAATGATCCGCCACTTGATCAAACGAACATTCAGCTCCGTCGCATTCTGCTGAACAACTCTCAAATTCAGAAATGACTGCAAGTCCAACGAATAAATACAAGACTCAGGTAAATGCCTCACCACCGTCGTCGATTCTCCTCGACCCAGGGTTGGCGTTGTACCCCCTCCTGGAGGAGTCGCACTCCCCGGTGCTGAACGCAACTTCCTTCGCAACCATCCTGCCACAATCACCGGCTTATCCACACTAGACACTCCTCGACAAACCACCTCCATCGATACAGTGCGATCCGGACGCACCAACACCACTCGAAGCCTCACCCCCTCCGGCCCAGGTCCCGCAGTCGCCGCCGCTAACATTAGCAATGCGTTCCGCACGTGCATGTTCAACGGCGCCTCACTCGCAGACACCTCGTACACCACTGCCGGAG